AGAAAAAATTGACTGTCACCACCAGGACTCGAACCAGGGACCCTCGCTTGTAGCCAGCGATGCTCTAACCACTGAGCTATGGTGTAGTCGTCATCCCAGCAGAGGCCGTTCAACATTTTCTTCAGACTTCGTAACTCACACTTCCTGTGAATCCACACAGGCGGGTGGGACGCAGCCCTCACTGTAACCCACACACTTCACGTACAAACTAGCACGCGGGGAGCCCCAAGTCATAAAATATTGACTGGTTTGAGGGAAAGAGACAAACGGGAAAAGTCTGAAGAAAAAATTGACTGTCACCACCAGGACTCGAACCAGGGACCCTCGCTTGTAGCCAGCGATGCTCTAACCACTGAGCTATGGTGTAGTCGTCATCCCAGCAGAGGCCGTTCAACATTTTCTTCAGACTTCGTAACTCACACTTCCTGTGAATCCACACAGGCGGGTGGGACGCAGCCCTCACTGTAACCCACACACTTCACGTACAAACTAGCACGCGGGGAGCCCCAAGTCATAAAATATTGACTGGTTTGAGGGAAAGAGACAAACGGGAAAAGTCTGAAGAAAAAATTGACTGTCACCACCAGGACTCGAACCAGGGACCCTCGCTTGTAGCCAGCGATGCTCTAACCACTGAGCTATGGTGTAGTCGTCATCCCAGCAGAGGCCGTTCAACATTTTCTTCAGACTTCGTAACTCACACTTCCTGTGAATCCACACAGGCGGGTGGGACGCAGCCCTCACTGTAACCCACACACTTCACGTACAAACTAGCACGCGGGGAGCCCCAAGTCATAAAATATTGACTGGTTTGAGGGAAAGAGACAAACGGGAAAAGTCTGAAGAAAAAATTGACTGTCACCACCAGGACTCGAACCAGGGACCCTCGCTTGTAGCCAGCGATGCTCTAACCACTGAGCTATGGTGTAGTCGTCATCCCAGCAGAGGCCGTTCAACATTTTCTTCAGACTTCGTAACTCACACTTCCTGTGAATCCACACAGGCGGGTGGGACGCAGCCCTCACTGTAACCCACACACTTCACGTACAAACTAGCACGCGGGGAGCCCCAAGTCATAAAATATTGACTGGTTTGAGGGAAAGAGACAAACGGGAAAAGTCTGAAGAAAAAATTGACTGTCACCACCAGGACTCGAACCAGGGACCCTCGCTTGTAGCCAGCGATGCTCTAACCACTGAGCTATGGTGTAGTCGTCATCCCAGCAGAGGCCGTTCAACATTTTCTTCAGACTTCGTAACTCACACTTCCTGTGAATCCACACAGGCGGGTGGGACGCAGCCCTCACTGTAACCCACACACTTCACGTACAAACTAGCACGCGGGGAGCCCCAAGTCATAAAATATTGACTGGTTTGAGGGAAAGAGACAAACGGGAAAAGTCTGAAGAAAAAATTGACTGTCACCACCAGGACTCGAACCAGGGACCCTCGCTTGTAGCCAGCGATGCTCTAACCACTGAGCTATGGTGTAGTCGTCATCCCAGCAGAGGCCGTTCAACATTTTCTTCAGACTTCGTAACTCACACTTCCTGTGAATCCACACAGGCGGGTGGGACGCAGCCCTCACTGTAACCCACACACTTCACGTACAAACTAGCACGCGGGGAGCCCCAAGTCATAAAATATTGACTGGTTTGAGGGAAAGAGACAAACGGGAAAAGTCTGAAGAAAAAATTGACTGTCACCACCAGGACTCGAACCAGGGACCCTCGCTTGTAGCCAGCGATGCTCTAACCACTGAGCTATGGTGTAGTCGTCATCCCAGCAGAGGCCGTTCAACATTTTCTTCAGACTTCGTAACTCACACTTCCTGTGAATCCACACAGGCGGGTGGGACGCAGCCCTCACTGTAACCCACACACTTCACGTACAAACTAGCACGCGGGGAGCCCCAAGTCATAAAATATTGACTGGTTTGAGGGAAAGAGACAAACGGGAAAAGTCTGAAGAAAAAATTGACTGTCACCACCAGGACTCGAACCAGGGACCCTCGCTTGTAGCCAGCGATGCTCTAACCACTGAGCTATGGTGTAGTCGTCATCCCAGCAGAGGCCGTTCAACATTTTCTTCAGACTTCGTAACTCACACTTCCTGTGAATCCACACAGGCGGGTGGGACGCAGCCCTCACTGTAACCCACACACTTCACGTACAAACTAGCACGCGGGGAGCCCCAAGTCATAAAATATTGACTGGTTTGAGGGAAAGAGACAAACGGGAAAAGTCTGAAGAAAAAATTGACTGTCACCACCAGGACTCGAACCAGGGACCCTCGCTTGTAGCCAGCGATGCTCTAACCACTGAGCTATGGTGTAGTCGTCATCCCAGCAGAGGCCGTTCAACATTTTCTTCAGACTTCGTAACTCACACTTCCTGTGAATCCACACAGGCGGGTGGGACGCAGCCCTCACTGTAACCCACACACTTCACGTACAAACTAGCACGCGGGGAGCCCCAAGTCATAAAATATTGACTGGTTTGAGGGAAAGAGACAAACGGGAAAAGTCTGAAGAAAAAATTGACTGTCACCACCAGGACTCGAACCAGGGACCCTCGCTTGTAGCCAGCGATGCTCTAACCACTGAGCTATGGTGTAGTCGTCATCCCAGCAGAGGCCGTTCAACATTTTCTTCAGACTTCGTAACTCACACTTCCTGTGAATCCACACAGGCGGGTGGGACGCAGCCCTCACTGTAACCCACACACTTCACGTACAAACTAGCACGCGGGGAGCCCCAAGTCATAAAATATTGACTGGTTTGAGGGAAAGAGACAAACGGGAAAAGTCTGAAGAAAAAATTGACTGTCACCACCAGGACTCGAACCAGGGACCCTCGCTTGTAGCCAGCGATGCTCTAACCACTGAGCTATGGTGTAGTCGTCATCCCAGCAGAGGCCGTTCAACATTTTCTTCAGACTTCGTAACTCACACTTCCTGTGAATCCACACAGGCGGGTGGGACGCAGCCCTCACTGTAACCCACACACTTCACGTACAAACTAGCACGCGGGGAGCCCCAAGTCATAAAATATTGACTGGTTTGAGGGAAAGAGACAAACGGGAAAAGTCTGAAGAAAAAATTGACTGTCACCACCAGGACTCGAACCAGGGACCCTCGCTTGTAGCCAGCGATGCTCTAACCACTGAGCTATGGTGTAGTCGTCATCCCAGCAGAGGCCGTTCAACATTTTCTTCAGACTTCGTAACTCACACTTCCTGTGAATCCACACAGGCGGGTGGGACGCAGCCCTCACTGTAACCCACACACTTCACGTACAAACTAGCACGCGGGGAGCCCCAAGTCATAAAATATTGACTGGTTTGAGGGAAAGAGACAAACGGGAAAAGTCTGAAGAAAAAATTGACTGTCACCACCAGGACTCGAACCAGGGACCCTCGCTTGTAGCCAGCGATGCTCTAACCACTGAGCTATGGTGTAGTCGTCATCCCAGCAGAGGCCGTTCAACATTTTCTTCAGACTTCGTAACTCACACTTCCTGTGAATCCACACAGGCGGGTGGGACGCAGCCCTCACTGTAACCCACACACTTCACGTACAAACTAGCACGCGGGGAGCCCCAAGTCATAAAATATTGACTGGTTTGAGGGAAAGAGACAAACGGGAAATTATTATTATTATTATTATTATTATTCAGGCAAGGGAAAAGGAACAGGAACAGTGGATTAAATACAGTAAGAAGGTGGTAAAACAGCGCAAAAAGAAAGAAAGAAAGAAAGAAGATAGCTAAAGTAAACAGCGAAAATTGCATTATTATTATTATTATTATTATTATTATTATTATTTATGCTGAGATGACGACTACACCATAGCTCAGTGGTTAGAGCATCGCTGGCTACAAGCGAGGGTCCCTGGTTCGAGTCCTGGTGGTGACAGTCAATTTTTTCTTCAGACTTTTCCCGTTTGTCTCTTTCCCTCAAACCAGTTAATATTTTATGACTTGGGGCTCCCCGCGTGCTAATTTGTACGTGAAGTGTGTGGGTTACAGTGAGGGCTGCGTCCCACCCGCCTGTGTGGATTCACAGGAAGTGTGAGTTACGAAGTCTGAAGAAAATGTTGAACGGCCTCTGCTGAGATGACGACTACACCATAGCTCAGTGGTTAGAGCATCGCTGGCTACAAGCGAGGGTCCCTGGTTCGAGTCCTGGTGGTGACAGTCAATTTTTTCTTCAGACTTTTCCCGTTTGTCTCTTTCCCTCAAACCAGTTATTATTATTATTGTAAAGCTTTCCTTTTGATCTTGTCTCTTATTGTTGTGTACTTTCCACAATATTGTGTTGCATTGTTTAAAAATTCCCATAAAAAAACTTGCAGTGTAGGGCCAGCACGGGAGTAGCGGCAGCGCCAAACCAGGAAGATGAGCTTCTGGATGAAGATCTCCTTTTAGAATGACCGGCTGCACTTCGAAAATTTCCTCGGTGTGGAGTAGAATACATTGTGATGTTAGATGCTTCACCAATGCAAGCTGTTGAAATGTGCAATCCCAGAACAAGCTGCCATGACTTCTGCTACTTTCAGCGATGGTCGCCTGCGCTCTTTGGCGTGAGTTGTGCGAAAATACGTGCGTGTGAATAGGCAAGTAGTGAAGCTTCGGTACGCAGGGTGTGTGTGGTCCCTCAGTACCTCGAAATCATTTTGAACATGATGAATCTTTTATCATGGGAAAGAGTGCTGTTTTATCTTTTCTGAGATGTACTCTGTAAGGCATAGGCCACAGCCCATGATATTTGCAGGTGATGCTCATGCGGCCATGTGTCTGAGATAGTGTGATGGAGAGATTTTAGTACGTTCTACGGAGCTGGTACGTCCAAGGGCTCACACGATCCAGTTGAATTCCATTTCATACAAATCGGTGACAGTCGTAACCTTCAGGTAGGTGTGAGATTTTTCACTTCCCACCCACCAGCTTTCACATAGAATTCATCCTTTGGCCTTCTGCTAGCTGTCGGAGTTGAGCTTGTATAGCAACGAATCTCTGGAGGTAGAGCTTGTTTTCTTTGATTCGTCCGTACTTTTCCTTTCATCCTGTCTTCCCGTTCTGTGCTGAGTCTAGTAAGCTTCCAGTTCGCATTGTCTACGCCATTCTGCCGGTCGTGGTTGTTGCATATCTGTAGCACGGTAACACTTGATCTATATTGTACATGTATACTGGACTTCTAGTATACCTAGGGTTGATGCCATGATGGACAGGACAACAGCTTCATCGCTGGTTCCGTTACCAGTACCAGCAGTGGCATTAGCGGGATCAATTGCAAGCCATGGCCGTCCAGACACAGCTTTGAGTTAGTACACTCTACTCCGAATGTAGTACGTAGAGTACCTACGTACTAGTAATAGTGCGTTTATGCTACTTCCAGTATCTTCCTTGTAGTAATGAATAAGTGATGAAGTGTTCCGATTTCTGTCAATGTGGAATTTGTACATGTATTATCATTTTGTTCTTCCAAATAGAGCGTTGGTAGAGAAATGGTCGCCCAAACACCAAAATTGATTCTAAACTACTACTCCGATTACTGAAAGCCAGTCCGAGAAAATATTTTAAAATGATTCTGCAATCTGCATGACAGTTGGGGTCAATGAAATCTGATCCCGGCATAAGGAATGATGGACTGGTGGTGCCTGCCACCCCGATAATGAATGCACATTGGTGGAGGTTACCAAAGGCAAAGTACCCAAAGTGGTGCGCATTTCAATGTGGCATTTGAAGGTTCTATATGACCAATAGTCAGTGGAACATACGACAACCATCATGAACTGCAGGCCTCAAATTCAACTCAGACCAGAATTGGCAGTTTTTATAACTCAATGGCCCCAGCTGTAGTTTTGCAGGTTTTTGCACATTATGGTTATAGCCTTTATCGATATAATTATATGGTCATGCTGATGGCCGTAAACAACACTGAGCAGTTGAAACTTCAAAGTGTTCATGAGCTGAGAGATCGCTCTCCGCTACTTCTGTTGTGCATACATGTCTGTCCAATTAGCATGGACCGTAGTGGTAGGACATGTATGTATGGTATCTGCTCTGAGAAGGGAATCGCTGGAGCCCCAGTCCGAATACACAGGTTGTCAAGAAACAGAGAGAAGCCATCTTGGGCCGGGATTCTTGGCAAGGCCTAATGTGTACGGGCAGAATTATCATGAGATACCTCGGACTACTTCTGGTGCATATTTCATATTACTCCTTCGACTACTGTCTAGAATTCAACCAGACTACAACTGAAGCCCTCAGTTAGACAAAGGAAACATTCTCTCACCGTGCTAAAGCTTTAGATCATACTGACAACTCACTGACAACTCACGGCTAGGGTCCAGCGGATAATGCCGGCATTATATTCGGCATTATACGACTATCCGAGCATCAGAGCATTATGGAGCATTAGAAAGGAACAGAATGAGCATTATGTGAGGTTTGAGCGGCAGAACGAGTTTCATAGTGGATAATATCGGGAAATCCCAGGTTTTTGGCAACAATCGGCTACAATCATGATCATGAGATGTTGTCTGATGATTTGTTTTTGCCATGAAACTCTGAGTAACAACGAAACAGCCCTATTGTACTCCTTTTGTGTACCTCTTGCGTACTACGCTCCGCTCATTCCGGGCATTTGAGCACTATGCATTGTACCGGCGCATGACTTTGTAATTGCGTAGACACGTAACACCTTTAGCACTAACGCTACATAACTATTATTATTATTATTATTATTATTATTATTATAGACAACACCTCATGGCATGAGAAGAAAATCAGCCAGTACGGGAGATGTGGGTGTTAACCAACCCTGGTGAATAAAAGAAGAAAAGTAATGGTCAAGACGGAGAAGCATGGGAGGGACAGGTGATGGCGAATCTAGTGAGCAGATTTAAATGCGTCCAGTGTACTGGCATTGCGCGTAGCAGCGGGCAGCGCAAGCCAAGCAGAGTAAGCAACAAAGAGTGGAGAGCGTACAAGGGAGGACGGTTTAGCCAAGGGGAGGGCAACAGAGCATCTTGTCTGGGAGCCATCTGTGATTCGGAACCAGTTATACACGTTAAGATGAGGAGGATGTAGAGCTAGTTTAAATTTGTGAGCAAAAGTGCAAATTAATTTTTGACGGTGGGTCGACAGTGGGCAAGCATTTGCAAGGACATACAGGGAAGCAGAAGAGTAGAGAGGGGGTAGACTAAACAGGATAAGAAGAAGTTTTCTATGGTGGATTTCGAGATGCTCAGCGAGAACCGAGGACAAGCCACACCAGCTCACAGCAGCGTACATGAAAAGAGGCAGGATGTACAGTTTGTAAAACAAAATTTTACATTTGAAAGGAAGAGGGAAACAATGGGGACGTATAACACCTAGGGCAGAGCTTGAACGGCTGCAAAGAGCATCAATATGGAAAGACCAAGAGAGACGATCATCAAGCATTATTCCCAGGTGTTTATGGTTGGAAACAACCTTTATGGGTTCTGGGAAATCAGGATGGTGTAAAAGTGACATGGATGAGATTAGGGGAAGGAACATTATTTCGGTTTTAGTCAGGTTGGGTCTAAGTCGCCATGTTTGCATCCAGCGCAGGACACTGCATATCTGAGCCGACACTCGAGGTACAAGAGCCGCTGAGGACGAGGATGCTGACAGTAGGGTTGTATCATCAGCAAATAACGAGACACCTGGGTCTATAGAGGGTAAATCATTTACGTATGCTACGAACAAAAGAGGTCCAAGTATGGAGCCTTGGGGAACTCCAGAAGACACTGGTAGAGGATCAGAGTTGATGGAGAGGGCAGAAACAAACTGTGATCGGCTACTCAGATAGGACTCCAGCCAGGACAGAGCAGGGCCAGACACACCAAAGACAATATGTAGCTTGGCAAGGAGGCCACGATGCCAGACAGTATCAAAGGCCTTTGCCAAGTCAAAGAAACAGAGAGCAATATGGTGTCGAGCATCACGAAGGGTGGCAATGTCTTGTACTAGACGAGCTAGTTGGTCAGATGTTGAGTCGTTGCGCCGAAAGCCAGATTGGGAAGGGCTAAGGCATGGTGAAATGTGGCAATACAACTGGTCGTAAAATACCTTTTCACATACTTTTGAAAGGGAGCAGAGAAGAGATATTGGACGATAGTTTGAGGCTTGTGATCGGGAGCCTTTACGCTTGTAGATGGGCGTGACCTTAGCGATCTTCCAACGATCAGGAAATACGCCGGAGGAGTAGGAAAGGTTGAATATAAGGCACAGTGGGTACGCCAGAGATGGAGCCAGAACTTTGAGAACTTCATTTGGTAGGGCATCAGGACCAGGGCTTTTGTTGCTTTTTAGTCTTTTTAAGTAGCTGCGAACAGATGATGTGGTGGTATGTATAGAGCGCAGATCAGAAGACACAGTCGCAGAACGTTGCAGAGGTGGTATTGGAGAGGAATGGTCGTCTGGAATACCAGCTGATGTGAATTGCGTATTGAGAGTATTAGCTACATACTTGGGGTCAGTCACCATCGAACCATTGGAAGCTAATAACGGAGGTATGTCTTGACGTGTACTAGTTGTCCTTTGAGTGCGAACAAAGGTATACAGGTTAGGCCTGGAAGAGGGGTGAGATGGGGTGGTAGTGAGCGAACGTAAATATGCTCGATACTTAGAACGTGACAATGACTTCACCAGATTGCGCTGTTTTTTTGTATAAAGAAATATTAGCATAGGTGGAGTACTTCTTACTTGATTAAGCTGTAGTAGTCGTATTTGAGTTTAATTGCACCTTGGAGATCTTTGTCGAGCCAAGGGATCTTGGGGTTACGGCTGGACTGACGAGGATGGTGGCTGCCATGTTTGGGTGTAGCGGGTCTTGCTCCGTACTGTGGCACATAGAAGGAGAGCACGTCATCAAGAACTGTGGTGAACTTCTCCACAGCTTCATCAACAGTAGTGGAGGTGAATAAAAGATGCCAGTCACAGGCAAAAAGTGCAGAGTTGATGATTGACCAAGTGGAGGGTGTAACCTTGCGGAAGGCATGTCGCGGAGGGGTAGGAGTCTGGGGGGGGGGGGGGGATTGCTACTTAAAAAACGATGTGATTGTAGCGATGTGGTCAGGTAAATGTATAAGCCATTTGTGAAGCATGCCCAACCAAGGCCGAGGCAGTTCAAGTGACACAGATCCGGAGAAATTATTTACGAGGTTTCTTTACTTTTAGAATAATGGAGAGCTATGGAGGAGACATTCGTGAAGTGAATATCAAACAGACGAAGAGGAGTTCTCTAGTTGTGCCAGAGGCTCTGGCGATAGCATCTCTAGCGATACTGAAGTAGACACTGATGCATTGCTAAATTTGGACCAGGATGAAGGAGCGGCTGTAAACAGAAAGAGCTCGTTCCAAAAGAACTGCCTTTGCCTAGTTCAGCTCAGGAGGCTCGAAAAGAACTACTTCAAGTAGAATTTCCCATGGACTCAGTACGAAGTCGATTGCTCAGCAGCGCCTGTCTTACTTTCCTGATGAAGCACGTACAGTTAGTTGTGGACGGTTGTAATGCCAGGCCTACAGTCAAATGCCATCAGAAGGGAAGAGTATTGTGGCAAGCCATACGTCTACACACCATCTCAAGGAGAAGATGAGAGCACAAGCAAAGGATGTAGAGTGGCAAAATAACTTCTGACCACGTGCTTTCAGGATTTCCGCAAATGGGAGGGCTCTCCATCTGAGATCGGATCTCAGGAGCTGGCCTCACGTCTGGTGTTTCAGATGAAGACATTATTCACAGAGTGGACGCAGTGACAGCTTGTCTGCAGGCAGGAATACTATTTGCCAAGATTAACTTCATCCCAACAATGAATGACTACCTGCAATAATGGTTTCATCTCTCACTACATGGATAATTAGGGGAGGGATTTGATACACCGACTATTCTGCCACAACCCTGCATCAAAGTTGGAATGGAGAGCAATCAATGGAGAAGCGATCATGTCTTATAGTGCTAAGAAGTAGTGGAGCTCGTGAGAGATAAGGTGGCAACTTCAGATGCAGATCGACAATATGCATAATTTCCTGGAAGTTTGAAAATATGCAGACTTTCTTCCATTTTTGTCCCAAACCAAGAGCATTATATCCCTTGCTGAAGCATTATAATCAGCATTATAAGGCAGTTTTTGGAGCATTATGGTTAACATTATATGAACATTTTCGGAGCATTATCCGCTGGACCCTACTCAAGGCCACCCTATTCTTAAGGATCCACTTACAACTGTGAAGAGTGCTGATTGGGATGTGCTCACAATCTCGATAATTCAGTGATAATCGTTTGAACTTTGAACGATGCGTTGGATTATTCCACATTTTTCTTCAATAAATGTTGTTGTATCCGCTATAAATAATCCTCAGTGCTCCGAAGTTTCTAAGTTCTCGGAGTAACGTTAAGTCTAAAAAACTTATTTCAAACATAGTGAAATTGTTAGTTGGCTAGTTGCCTGGGAAAACCTTTGGGATACTTTGGTAAAAGCCTGTTTTTCTTACAGAATCTCATTGATATGGGTATGGACTCCTGGAAAACAAAATATTAAACCTATCAATGTATCTTTCATTTAGATACTGCTCATTTTATGCAAGTATATCCCAAAAAGGATCCCCGTATGATGGCCGTATCTCAAAGGCTATTGATATGAAGATTTTATGAGCATAATACGAGCATCCATGGAAGCATATTTCTATGATATCGCATGTATAATCCGCCGGAGCCTTGAGAGATCGGTGCTGTTGCGGTATCTTTCATTGAGCATTCACAGCTTGAACTTGCAAATACCGTGTCTTGAATGGGTTCTTGGGAGAGGCCAATGCACATTTTCTCCTTGATTTCGGCGCTCACTCTGCTTCATAAACTACACATGCTGCTGGCACGAGTTATCCTGCACTGGGGTTCTTCCCTTTTCCTGCAGTTGCCACTGTTTGTCAGCCTGAGTTGGGTTGAGATTGCTGCTGCTCTTGACATGTACAGAGTAATGATATGTATACTAACCAGGCTCCTCTGATATTTGGTTTCTGTGCTTCGCTCTTTGTTCTTCCCGTGTAGAAGAGTCAGCCACGGAGGGTGGACAGAACCAATCCACTACATCGATTCGCATAGAGGATGTCCCCAATGCCGATGCAAGCAACAAGAAAAAGCGGAAACCAAGAATATTCTTTAGCCGGCAACAAGTCAATGCGTTGGAGGGAATCTTCCGAACTAAGCAATATATATCTGCAGTTGAGCGACAGGTACTGTCAGCCATGCTGAAGCTTACTGAGAGGCAGATCAAGATCTGGTTCCAGAATCGTCGCCAAAGGGGAAAGGTAAGGGGTGAAGCCAATGATGGGCATACTGTGCATCCTATTGTTATGGGCGGACCAGCTGCCCCTGCAAACCGCTTTATGAACCCAGCTCCACCATATCATCATGATCATGGTCAGAATCCTTCTTTTTATGGTGGAAGTCACTTTAGCCAGCCACAACTGCATGCCTCGAACGCTGCTGCAGGCCAAGGACAGACAAGCTTTTCCATGACCAGAGGTATCCCAGAAATGCAGAATCGGTCATCACAGGAGCTAGTGAAGGCCCAGGCACCATTTACAGCGTGGGCTATTGACGCTCAACAATCTGCCCGCATGCAGCAGCAACCACAGCAGGGAAACATGGCGGCACCGATGCTACCAGCCACACACGCTGGTTTAGCCCAAACTGGACTGTCACAGGCAGGAGGCATCCGACAAACGCACTGGCCTCCACAACAGCTAGTGCAGGCTCAAGCATCAGCTCTGACTGAAGTTAGCCGTCCTTCTCCATTCACCTCAATGCAACACCAGCCCGAAAACCAGCAGCGACGCGACGTGTTCGCATCGTCCTTCGCAGCAGGCAACACACACATGCAAGTACATTCGCAGGAGTCGCACAAATCAAACTTAGCCACCACAGATGACAACACTCCCTCTGTTCGCGAACAAATCTCATGGATGCCTCCATCAGGGCCAGTAAACCTCCCGTCCATGAATACCTACTCCGAACGACAGCAGCAAACTTCTACGGCCCCATATCAGAGTCGGCATTTCCCTTAGGCTATTTAGACGGCTTCGGATTCAGTATTTACTATTGGCAAAAGTATTACAATCGAGTCACAAGCGCTCCTGCAAAGTACACGCACAAGCATGTAGAACTTTTTTTTTATATTTATAGCATGTAGGAAACAAGCGCCATTATCACACATACATTCCATGTCTTTAAACACACATTCGCACCTAACAGAAGCCTTCTATAATCGTCTGCCAGATGAATATCCCGAACCGAACATAATTATGACATCCAAGATGAACTGGGCGTCACCTTGACTACAAAAATGGCGTGCAAAATTGTCATTTACAATGGACAGCTGGACAAACATAGTCTCGTAGCTAGCGTAGCATAGATCATTCATCAGCAACGATGACCAATTTAGACCAGTCTCGCTATGGAATCGTTGGAGACGCTCACAATTATTTGCACATCTACAGCAGCAGCCTACACTCTCATAGGGCAGATAGCTGCTTTCAAAATACTTCTGTCATCCATTCGTATCTACCTGCATTGTTTTAGTTTGTGAGTACATGCTGTTACAAGTAGTACTTTCCATATTATCTGGTGTCAACGCGTGACACGCGTCCTTCCCATCCCCACCTGTCCAGAACAAACACACACCACCTTGCTGAATACCGAATAACATGACAGTGTTTAATAATATTATTTATTGTTATTGTAGGTTTGTGTATTCCCGGTTGGCACCATGGGTTTCTACGTGGCCCTTTACGAGTAATACGATTCCAACAACCTCTGCTCTCGTGTTCCCGTACAATATTTTTTATTAGTAATGTTGCATGATGTAGTATCCAAATAAGCGACGTGGAGACAATAAGTTAATGATAGCAATGAATAATATTAGGATCCGCGGTCATACCACACAACAGAGAAGTCTCAAAAGAGGTGTAACTAAAATCGATTTTCTTTCACTCTCATCAGTAGATTGTCGTGACTGAGGGACATTAGCGTCACTCTTTCTCATGTCACCTACTCTGCAGTCTCCTCCGCTCAGTATCAGGTCAGTTTTCAAAAAAACAAACAGGCTATCTGTACAGCAAATCTCCGTGCAATGGCGGAAGAACACGCAGAGAAGCCGCCGGACCGGAGCACCTTTTCATTATCTAGAGAGCATATTAAAGCTCGCCGTGACCTTTTGAACAATGACGACATTAGGATCACTAGACCAGATAAAGGCCGCGCGACAGTCATCATCAGCACCACGGAATACAATACAAAAAATTGTAGTCATTCTTGAAGACAAAACACAGTTCATGAAACTCGGGCCTGCCTCTACGCATGATGGACTTCTCTCAAAGAAAGGATTTGTTCAGAACTGTTTTCTGCTCATACTGGTCTTTTTATGACCATTGAAACTTTGAAAGGTGTCATCGCGTCTGCAAAATAAACAAAATGGACGAACGTGTACTACTATGGATGCGTTACGATGCTTTATCTATCTATATTATCTCTATCTGTTTATCTACTCTTGTTTGAAGTAAACTCAACTTAGTTGAGTCACGGCACTTAAGTTGGGGATTTCCTCATTTCTGCTGACTGTTTCTATGGGAACACGGATTCAAATCGCGCTTGGGACGTGAGTGGATCTTCACAAAAAAATTGAGATTGATAGGAGCAAGGAGAGTGATAATGTCAGATGAGGATTGATCTCCAGGACGATTCCAGCGCAAGAGCGCTGTCGCCGAGCTGCTGCGCTGGCCTCGTCACTTGAGTGTGAGCTCAAACTGTTCCTCTTGGCGAGACCTTTCCAGGGAGCCCAAGATCATAAAAATCGATCAAGGCAACTGTAGTTGTCAGCAAGTGTTTGTTTCACGGCTGGGCGTAGCGAAAGAGTGCAAACGTATTTTTCACTTTTAACCCTACAACTACCAAAATTTCAACTACCCTAGAAGTACCGGAGGCATCATATGACTCCACCGGACTTAAACATACCTCCTTGGAATTATTTTCGTAGAAACAGAAGTCCTTGGGGTAAAAGGTACCTTTTAAAAGGAAGAACCAATGTCAGGTGCACTATCTTGGAGACCAGCAGCTGGCATTGCGCGCAGCGAAAGGGCGACCTCTCGTCAGTTTACGGAAAAATAAAAGAGCATTTGCTTGCCATGCTCATCCTGCAAACTCTACATTTCAGTCCATTACCCCGGAAATGGCTGCTGCTGGGCCAACCCGCTGGATTTTTCTCAGCCAGGTTGGTCATTCTTTGACTGCTGTGACAAATACATTTACGAGCGAAAGGAGAACGTGGTGTCGCAACTCATAGCGAACGAATAATTTCCGTTCGACGTCGTGTCCGGAGACCATCTTCGTGATCAAACCTCAAGTAGCAGAGTAGTTCCCGGAAACTATTTTTAGGGATTTTACTTGATTATATGGTGTCCATTCCTATCCAGCCGAAGGACCGTCGGCAGATTATTGCGGGTACAGAGGACGCCTCTTGCGTAAATTTGCGAAACCAATGCCATGATATTGCCTTCACTCAAAATAGCGTCCTCTCCAATTTTCTGTTTTCCCTCCTACCTTGTGCACTTGATCATGACATGGATCATATTCTGGTCAATAAATGCAAATAATGCATCTGCCCAATCTTCAAAATTGTCAATATCTCGGAAAAGCCCGCAAACTTCGGAAGCAACAACCGGTTGCTTGGTGCAACACATTTTCCACTATCTACCAACTTTGCCAGAGAACCCAGCTTCATGAAGGAAATCCTGCCCGAGTTTTGGACATTGATGTTCTGTTATGTGTATGGCTCCATAGCTTTATCACCACCATTATCCGCTTGCTCCCTCGACTCCGGTTCCGTATCAGACTGATCGAGAAGCCGGAGCAATTAGTATTAACTCATCTCCATCTGGGGCATATAACTATGTGTCTCTGTGTTCGGTCACTTCTAATTGCTCGCGCACAATGCTCCAGGCACTCTCCTCGCATTCATCCCCAAACTCCTGCCCAAAAATTTCAAAATCAAATGAAATGCTTTATCAGCAGCGACACTGCACCTACTGAACATGGCTTCCGCCAGACCAACGTAAACTCAAAGAACGTTCCTAGAATATTATAACTGCCCTGGCACTTCATATCGTTCTATGCTGCAGATGACATAGTAAATCACTTCCCAAACTTAGAACAAACAAATTTGCCTGTTTCGGCAGGATTCGGGATTACGATATTGACCATAACGGCATGTGAAATGTGCATAGTAGCATGTCAATATGTGCAAATCACCACCTTCATGGTCCCCAATCTCCTTGCTCCCAAATGTATTCCTCTTCACGTTATTCACGTGTGGTTCTAAGCCAAATTCGCCCTTTTATTCATGCCTATGGTATGTGGAGTCATATGATGCCGCGCGGTAGTTCTAGGTAGCACCCCCTGGCATTTCGGTACTGTACTAAATTTTTGAAAACACAACCCACTGCCATTAACAAAATGCAAAATAAATAAAAGTCACCACATTTGGGGAGATTCTAAGCCCCCATCTAACAGCAATTCCATTTTGAAATTCGCAAATGCATCATATGATGCCTCCGGTACTTCCAGGGTTAAAACATGTTCGTGTACATGTAGTTGCTCTTGTTCATGGCAACTCCATTGGGAACTCCCATCGTTGTCTTTTTGTTTTCCGCCTGGTAGTTGAAGTTGCTCGCCCAGTCGCCCACTCACCTCGGTCAAATAACCACCTGTATGCGAGAGTGTCTTCCGCTGTTCCTCTTGATATTCTACGCAGATGCGTGTGTCTTACGACATACCCCGTGTACTAGTAGTATACACAGTTTCTTGTTTTCTCTATTCTTGGGTCCCACTGGCAGTGGAGCAGGAAGTAATGAAATAGATAGGCATTTTGGCCGAAAGGCGTGTTTTGTAGCCTGGTTGAGCGGTCGTGGCTAGGAATGTAGGGAGTCATTGTTTTCAGGCGCTCCCCTGCTGCGCAGTGCCCAGTCTCCCATGTTCACCACTGACCATGCTGTTTTGCGGCCTCTTCTCTCGCATACAGGTGGTTATTTGACTGATTTAGATAATTTACGCTATTTCTATAATTATTATGATGTGGCTGCGAGTGCTACTCATTTCTGGAAAAACCACTATGGTGGTGAGTGTGATTGATTTGGTAGACCACTACCCCATGTGCTGAACAGTTGCTCTGTGAGTGAAACCATAATATTAATATTTTTCTTTACCCAGACACGTACTTGAAGCACACTTTGATACAGAACCTTTCGTGATAGAATGCCAATAACGTTAGTAGAACCAAAACCTGCAATACAATGTATGCCCATTGGCTATTGTTTCTACACGTCATCTGTGAGCCCACAAAAGGTGCAGGCTAATACTTGATAACATACCCCAAGTGTCAAGAAAAGAGACTAAAATATACTGGTGATGCTGGAGATAGAACTAAATGATGCTGATACTGCAGTGGATCCGCCGTAAATTGCAGAATGTACAGTCATGTACCGTGGAGCATGAGCCGAGCAGAACTCAAATAGTTATATGGACGTTCCGCAACGAGATTTCCGCTCTGTAAAGTGGAACGCTGTGCTCGACAGCCTGGTTTGCTCTGGATATTACGCTGCTGCTCCTGCATCGTGGAAATAACTATTGTGAATTGCACTGTGATATGGTGGCAAACCTAGTCCCTGTTTCCCCTAGTCCCTGTTCGATTGTTTTTCATACTGAACACATTCTATTGGCCAATGTCACTGCGGGTGTAAAGTGGGCGACTGTAAATTTCTCCTCGTTATCCTGTTACTGGCCGCTGTGTCTAACACGTCTTCACCATTATTGCACAATCGTTGTACCATCATTGCATCACTTCACTGTTACTAATAACGAACTACTTCTTGCGTAGGGATGAACAATAATCCTATCCATGATGGGAATTAACCGTATTGCGTGACTGATCCTTTCAATGTTCTAGTCTTTCAAGTGACTTTTCCTTTTCTACCTGGACTCCTCCTTGGTTTCCCTTTTCTCTCTAGCTCTTCTCTTGTACCTTCTTGCTATTACCGTAATTCCGCGCATATAAGCCCACGGGCCTATATCCGGATATAAGCCCACCTCCGTTTATAAGTCCATGGGCTAATAAACAGACACGAATGCAACTCTGTCAAGTCGAATTTTACACAATAATTATGGACTCTTCCTACCATGGTGCAGCAGGTCAGTGCAGTTTACCAGTAGAGTATGGTAGACCCACTACACTATGAGCACGGACTTGTACTTTTTCGTGAACCTTCAAAATTCGAATATTGGCCCATGGGCTAAAAAACGAACATGTTTTACTGGATATTTTATCCCCAAACTGCATTATTTCACATATAAGCCCATGGGCTTATATGCGCGGAATTACGGTATTCACTTTTAAATGTGGGGCTTTGAATAAACCAAGTCATCAGCATCACGTCAGAATTTATTGTGTTAAAGTACAGTAAACCAGTAAACCTGTAACTAAAGATCACCTTGACTATTCTTTAAAGTACCGGTCGGATAACTGGATAACTGGATAACTGGATAACTGGTTAACTGGATAACTGGATAACTGGTTAACTGGTTAACTGGTTAACTGGATAACTGGATAACTGGTTAACTGGTTATTGGACTTCACTACGTGTACAGGAATATGAACTATCGCATCACATATCGTTTGTGTTTTTAAACACAATTGAGACCTATACGTTGACATCAACATGATGCTTCCTCAGCTTCAAGCTGAAGTATGGTGATGAAGACGGTTTCGTCTTCAGTGCCGAGCCAAAATTCTAGGATTT